CACGGTTAACAAAATTCCACAAACCATGAACCTTACCGAGGAATCTCTATCTCCCAACTTCTCTTACGAAAACACCCTGCCGAATGCGTTTAACACCTCCCCTTCCCGCAATACACAAATACGAATAAAGAATTCTTCCCGCTTACTCATCTTGGATTAAGATCAAAGTAAGTGAGCTAGAGAGTGCAACTCAATATAATAAAGTGCTCATGAAGGATTTCGCATTATTATCACCAGAGCAATGGTCCGGATCACATTTTATGAATGAGTACGAGATAAAAGCATTGGAAGAGGAGCGCTCTTCATGACAAGGATAGCATAAGGCTCACCACCTCACATGAGGAAATGATGCACTTTATGTACTACCAGGATGATGTGCGCCATTATCATGAAGAACCTCCGATGTATTAATCTCATTGAAGTGATGACGTTCAAGCAGACCACCACGAAAAATACTTCGAAAGTCAAGGGGACGAAGAATGAGGGAGAGAGAAAGGATTAAAATGAGGAGAAAATCGATAAAACCCTTAAACTGAACTCATGGAGTCACTAGCCCTAAATCCCCTCGATAAATGTAATTCAAAAATCATAGAACAGATACCTTATTGCCAAGCTTATTGATAAACATTGAGATGCCTGTGGCAATGTATGCAGAATTGATTTTCGATACTTTCACAACGGAGGCTTTCGATTGAAACAGCACCATGAATATACCAATGAGCCGCATACTAGTGATCTATAATGAATATAAAGGAAATTCCCAGTCAAAGCAAAGGAAGTTGGCAAAACAGTTCTCACTTATCAAGCAATAGAAAAATCGGAACTCTAATAATATAAGGCTCATCACTGCCGACAAGGGCAAACTTTATTCTATTTCGCTCACCACTCTAAAGTTCTTCCCTCCTCCTGGCAATGACGCCCTTATACATTCCAGCCATTCCTCCATCTTTTTCGGATTGTCAATTATGTAGGTTCCAACAGACAAATCCATTTCTTGTAAACTGAAGCGATATCAGATTAAAACAAACAATTCAAGGAAAAACAACTTTTAAAACTAAGGACTCTACCCAATTGCATAGACAGTCACCATGTGCCATCAGAAACGCACCCACGCAATCATTTCCGGAGGGCTTTTTCCAATTATTTACGTTGAACGTCGTTATGCAAATGGATACATCGGTGAACGGACAGTATCTGAGTTAATGAAAATAAAACTGAACACTTGAAGTTAAATAAATGTATGTAGTCTGTAACATTTCATCAATACAGGCCGAGAGAATTCTTCCATAAACAACCATAATAAACCCTCGCTGTTTTGCTTCGAAATGGGTGACAATAGCACCTGCCCACATAAACCGTTGCTAGCCCCGGTTCCAGCATTGAACAATCGAGAAAAAGATAACTAGATAGAGATGGCAGCATCTGACCATAATTGAGAAAAAACATTAACCATTTAGAGCCCAAAAGTTCAAATTCAACATACTATTGAATGGAATAGGAACAGTACATCATTTCATGTCCAAAAACGATGAAACGCAGTTCTCTAATCAAAAAAACGGTCACCCCTCTCATCAAGTGGCTTTTCAGCCACAAACCAGCCACTTAAAAGCCTACTAAAAAACCAATTTTTTTCTTTCTCTCCTAGAGCCGCAGCCAAAGTGAATGTTGAGACATGTGACGGCCGCCATCGAATATTTATGCCGCCTCGTCCTTGCCCTGCTTGCTGCAGTATATCGAACTGCCCTATCGAAGACACGGCCCAAAACGTTTTCAATAGTCACCTTCTGATCAACTAGCCATAACGATGTACGGGATTTCAGAGCCCTGTTTGTGCAGGTACAGGCGGCATGTACGAGCAGTCGTTTTGCGACTTGTGTAGCAGGCGCGATCAGATAAACGAGATAAACTTTGTTCGAAAGCAAGAGAGTAATATATTGAAAAAATCTAGTTCAGCCAAGAAATGAAGGGACAATCAAACATTCAATGTCTGTTGAGCACGACCAGGTAGCGTGCCGATAACGTAAAGGAAATTTGCGTCTTCGTGTGTGTTACAGTAATGAAACTTCCGAATCTTGAAGCTTATTCTCCAAACTTCTACCCAAGAATACTACTGAACGCCTCGAATCACACGAGAACCCATAAAAAAATTGTCGCAACTAATTGCATATTCAGGGTCACAGTGAATGGTGAATGTATAATGAAAAAGAAGGAAAATTCAATTCGCGTGCTATTTGGTCAACCTAGAATAATTGATTGCGGTGCTTTCAACAAAACAGAATACATGAATTAGAATGTATTGCAGAATAATTCCGTCCAAAATTTCGTTTTCAAATAAGAAAATAATTAGAATTTTTGAGATTCACAATTACTGTCACCAATTTATATCAACATTAAGCACGAAGTGAGTTCTGTGGTAAGAATGTCAACAATTTCATTATGAGTATGAATAAATGTAACCGTGCTTTTGAGTTCCACATCTACATGTCCGAATTGAAGAATATGTGACAAAAGCCGGCATAAGGCTTTGCAAGAATTCTGGGTTAATTTACCGTCTATCACTCACCGACTCGTCACAATCAATAGAGCTTCAAAAAAGACAGTAGAAAGGGAAGTGGAAGCGACAATGCAAAGGAGAAAACCCTTTACGCAATTACCCGCATCGCGAGAAGAAATGTGAAAGAAAAGATCTCATTGCACTTTATGTAAACATTGGCGGCTACTGGGGAATGATTAAACCCGTACTTGATGATCGGCACTTGCCTAATTGCGGTAAAAAAAAACAATTGTAGAGTTGTGAGGTCGTGCTATAACTCTGGACTTTGGCAGAAATGATACTTATTGGTGAAGTGCTCCTTCCATTTAGATCTCATTTTCTCTTTTCTGAACGATATCAAGCAAACAATTCTTGGAAATTTGTCACTTGGGCGGGAATTTCACGAATCGCCTTCATACTACTAACACCCTGCGAGCTTAAGCCCGACACGAGCATTTGAAGTGCTACTAATAACTTTTCGATACTGGCCGACGTCTAAATTTTCTTTCAGTGAAACACAGGCTCCCCTAAGAATGACACTCTCAAAATGATGGCCTCCATCTGCAGGCCACGCAGTTCGTTTAATGTCAATTTCCATAAAGGTGCCCGTCGGTTGACGGACTACTTGAACTCAGCCCTTTACCGCCTCTGCGCTCTCTAGCGGGTCCCTCTCCTCTCCAAGGCTTAGTCCTAGGGCATTCTCTAATCGTCTGTGCTCTAGCCATCGCGGCAGGACCATTGAGGAAAAATCAAGTAGTCCGTAAACCACAAAATCATAGTCACTGTCCGCTTTTACCACATTCAAACCATGCCCATCAAACCAAATGCAAGACTTCAGATAGCACCGCTTTTGTTCATTTCGTACTCCATTTTGAATCGGCTCTAATAGAAGCGGAAGCTTACCTCTGCTGCCAACCTCGCATCACCTCATCCACCATCGGATCACGACCGGGCACGTAACCACCTCTTCGACTGCCACCACTTCCCGTGTAGAAAGTCATGGCTAACACCCGCTCTCAGCCCACCCAAATCTAGCCTATAATTGGAACGCACGACTCGATTAAAAACAGCCCCACAGTCATAAGAACTTGAAAACGACGTGAGAACTACTATCAACACTGCTATCAAACTTCGACCTCAATGTTATGCACGACTTCTCCTCAAGATATCTCAGAACTGTACTGGTGCTGTAAATATTCATGTTGTCCACAACATCCATTAACAGTTTATTACTTCGAAACAATGTAAGCTACGCTCCACATGACGTCATATTATTAAAAACCTTGATATTAGAATGAGACCAAACACATTCCGCTAACTTGGAACGCCTTGAGATTACGAAAATAACAAAGCAGATACAAAAAAAATCCTACGCAAACACAACACAACTTAGAAGAGGGTAACAAGATGCGCTCCAGCAACTTCGCACACCCAAGAAGCAATAGCGGTCGTCGTGATAGACTTCTGGACATGCCACAGCAAACGTTTTCCGTGCTCACCGATCAATATCTGCCGAAGTCAGGGAACAGCTCCACATAACGCGGTCCTAAATCAACAGGGGCTCCAGTGAGAGCAAAACTGGCAAACTGTTATGGCAACTGTAAAACTAAAATAACAGAGGCAATTTCTGGTTGTGGACACCATATAAATCTCAAAGATATATCAGAAAGAAACCTAACATACCCATGTATTGCTTGTCTTTCAGCAGTGCCTCATCGTAATCCTTCCTGCTCGAAAATTCGACACGGGCTTCACCTGATGGACGTCCACTTGCTTCATGAATTATTTCAACGTTCGTGGGACGAATTGGTTCAAAGAACTAAAAGAAAGCTGTACTTCCTCCGATGAAAGAACGAATTTCGAGCTAACGCACACAGCTGGCCATTCTTCATACAATTTCCTGTCCAAATTACCTTCCCCGGTAAGAGACCCAACTACTCCGCTACCCAGAACCTTTCCGAAATGGCCCCAAAATAACAATGAGGACTTCACTAGCGATTGAGGACTGGATTGGAAACCAAATCACCAAGAATGGGTCAACAGCGCCTTAATGTCCACCTCTATCCAAAACCTTTCCTTTCTCGTTGACCGGTTAACTCCAGACCCTGTGAGCCATTACCTTTCCTTTCCCGATGATCAATTAGGAGAATCACATAAAGAGCACCATACCACCCAAGCAACATTTCCTAACATGCAGCAGAACGTCCCCTTGAGTTTAGTCATAATAATTTAACGCAACATCAAAAACTGAGAGCACGCTGCGAATTAACCACAGAGCCGAATCAAATTTCAACCGCATTTGCTGAGGAAAAGTTCCGCCGCATGCTATGAAATGAGATTCATCATATCCATTTTCTAATCAACTTTCTGTTGAAATTCCTTGAAGTTGCATGACCATACCAGTGCCAAAAAGCGAGATGCTCTCCTTATAACTAACCAAAGCTAATTAACCAAACCACCAACTCACGTCGTAAATATCCGCCTCGATGGCACGGAACGGTACCCCTCTCATCTTCAGTGTGTATTTCTGTCCAGGTCGTTCGCGTCCACGTGGTGCAGCAGCCGGTCCGCGGGAATCATCACGCCACTGATCACGGACACGCATTGGTCCTCCCCCAGAGCTCGAATAACCATAGTCCTGCCATGAGTCACTATATCCTGCCGCAGGAACTGCTGGAGCGGCCGGTGCGCGGTCATCACGCCATGTTTCTGTACCCGTACGAGGGTAGCTCTCAAACGGATCGGACCTGCGTCCGTACAAGTCATCCGACCGCCTCGATCCTCGACTGTAGGGATCTTCTGCTGCAGGGCGTCCATATGGATCCGATGCAGGTACAGCTCTACCATAGGGATCAGCGAGTGTTCCCCTGCCATAGGTGTCTGGATACGAAGACCCAACACGCGGGGGAGAAACCGGGCGTGTAGCTGCCCATGAGCTATTGTAACCTCCTGAGTATGGGTCAGCCAAAGGCGCAGCTCCGAAGGCAGCACTGCGACTATCATCCCATGGACCGACTGCCGCTCCGCGATCACCTGACCGACCGAAGAACCCGTATCCACCATAGCTGTCGTCAAAGCCGCCACGAGCCATACCACCGTAGCCTCCCCCGTTACCACGCGGCACGCGCAGACGGTGGTCATCACAGAACTGCACCATCTCGCCGTACGACGCCGTAAACACCTCGATGTATCTGAAAGCCAGCTTTAACCTCCATACAAATAGTAAAAAAGTTTTCACAATACATTTCGACCATCCATAAACTAATACATGGAATTTGGATGTAAAAGAGAGGGGAATCAGAACCGATACGCCATTCCCACCGCCAAGAATAGGTAGGGCAAATTGTGTCGCCGAAATAAGATCTTTCTGCTGATTACTTTCATCCAAAAACGAGCCGTTTGAGGTGCAGAGTACGCCTCAAAAATTACGCGCTTTCATAGACCGCACAGGTTCCACCAAATAGAAATCCTTTCACGTGGGTTCCAAAATGGACCTTCACCTTCCTTATTACCCAACGTAAATATAAAGCCTAGAGGTTAGAAGCAAGCGGCAACAAAGGAGATTAGACGAATAGATGAAAGTTTAAATGATTTACAAGGTGAAGAAATTCGAAAGGTATACCTGTGCTGCATGTTTTTCATGTGACGCATCAACGCGCGATCAGCGGTTTCTTGATCAACGAACACAACAAATGCCTCGCCGTTTGTCTTAGCCGCTATGCGCTCATCCGGTAGAAGGATTCCATCCTGTAATTATAAATACCAAAATGAAGTCTAACCAGTGATTATTTCTGTTTTCATAAAGTCAAGCTTGGTCCTCACCGGAACTATCTGCAAGGGTGCAAAGAAATCATATATGTCGCGCTCACGAGCCCCATACGGAAGCCCACGGAGACGGACAACACCTTCGCCGTTACCACCATAAGAACCCATCGCACGCGAGCTGCCACGACCATAGGTTCCGTAACTGCGATCACGGCGATCACGATCACGGTCTCTTCCCCTGAAAACTGGACTTCGCAAACATGAAAAAAATTAGTAATAGTGCGCACACCTTTCACGATCTCTACCGCTTGACCTTGGGGCGTCTTCATCAGCTGGCATTACTTCAATGTACCTATAAAATACCAAACATGTATAACTGATCGCATGCTTCTTAAAACAAAATGGATTAGGGGTACATTCTAAAAGCAATGCCAACCTGTGGCCCATGTGTTCACGATCTTTCTTCAGAGCACGCTTATAATCATCCTCATTGCTATAATGCACGAAAGCATCACCAGCGGCCTTGCCATCTCTCATAATCAGATTCACCTTGCTAATGCCAGTATCTGAAACGAATCAGACAACAATAAATGAGAATAGAACGCTCAATGAGGAAATTGGAGTTCATACTCTACCATAATCAATAGATATCAATCACACTTCCACTTTCACTGACCTAATATGGGCAATGCGGGTTGGGTGAGCTCATGCCGCATGTTGCTTATACCCACATATTTTCTCTGCCCCATTTTCTCCCCTACGGTTTACTGGGTGTTCACCATGAAGGGCCCAAGGATCTATGCACGAATAGAATTGTTGAATTGGAGGTAGTTGCGGAGTTCCTTCCAATCCAATCATCTTCGGATCATAGAGAAGTGTTTCGGTCACAGCCCACCGTACCCGCAACTGCGTGCTCTTCCTTGAACGATTTTCCACGTGCACATAACGCCCCAAATTTCTTAACAACCTCTTAGTTTCAACCGCCTCTCCTTGTCTGCTTTGGCATTCTTGTGAACCTCATCCAAAAGTTTATCTTTTTTCTTGCAAAATGAAGGGAAAACAGTTGATCGATCCTCTTTTTTGAGTTGCGTCACACATTCTAAATTCATTCAGAAGCGCAGCAGAAATGCAAGTTACCCTATACCGAAAAATTACGGGCCAACCGTGAACAAATGTGTGTTCTTGTCGTCCCACCGTGCGATGACCATCCCTTTTTGTTCATCTACAGACAAACGACTAAACTCGCTGAAGGGAAGCTACATAATCCAATCTATCATTCCACATAAGCAGCACCACCTTCGCAATGGTCCCATTAACTGCCTTTTACCCCCCCCCCCCCTTGATGGGCTTAACTTTCAGAACAAATACAACAGTTGTGCATGAACCGGGATCAACGTGCGACACCGTCAAACATTTCACAAGACATTGTTGCTGGCCAAGACATCGCTATAGTGCAGCTTTAGAAAAAGACCTGCCCTTAGCTGGAAAATAGATCATGACGACCTTTCAACGCTATAACGGGCATTGGTAACAATGCATTCCGAATTGCGTCAAACACGTCTTTTTCGTCAAAAACGGAACTTGGACAAGGGTGGAGAGATTCCAGGGTGCGTGGGCCAGTTTTATTTTCGTCGGAGTTCTTGCCCGCTCCTTGGCTTCGTCCTGAGAATGCCCCCCTTATGTTGCGATCGCGCCGACCTTTCACCTTACCACCTTTGCACTTATCTCGCATCTACCCAAGAGAACGAATGAAGGTCATTAAGCCTTGCGGCCGCGAGTGCTTGACTATCGATCCACTGCTGAGCCCAAAAAGGGAGTCAATAAAAGCTGTACGCGCAATGCGCAATACCCACTATCACAAAACAGTTATTCTTCACATCAAAAGAATAGGTCCATACATGTTCTACTAGCGAGCGTTCAGAATTAGCGAAACCTAACAACAACGCTACTCACCACCAAGAAACTTTCTAAGCTGATCTTCAGTGCAAGAATAAGGCAGGCCCCTGCACTTGACTACCAGATCCTTAACCATTGCCTGCAAAATAAAAGGTGATTTTTTCATAAAGAATAATTGACACAGTTTTCAACCGAACACTTTACGCTCATAAGAATAGCTGTTAGGTAGGAAAAAGCTTGAAAAGCAACAAATGAATCACTACACGCCCAAAAAGAGGGTTGAAACGAGTTCTGAAGGATCTTGCATTGCTATTGCTGCGGCTGCTATTCGCGACGTAAACGGCAATCAACTCGGCTAAAGCTGCAGTAGTTCCAGATGCAATAATCGTCTGTAGCAATCCGAGACGGGAGAACCAGACAATACGAAACTTGAGGGAGAAAGGTATGGGAAAAGGTAAAAGTTCACGGCGAGAACAAGGCCAGACGGTTCGAAAACCTGTAAGTGGACAATGGTTGCAAGTTTGAAACGAGATAAGATGATGGTAAGAAACTGCCTGCGCAACCACCAGTGTAGCCTATTGGTAACAGAAAAACCACTCTCAATCGACTTTCTAAATCAACCAGTGAAAGAATAATTGAACTCTAGAGAAGAACCGAAGAAACCATGAGAAGAGAAAACAGCCGACCCCTCTCTCCTCGCGTGAGTTGGCAAATGAACGCGACCACGTTGACCGGACGACTCGGCGGCATCGGCAATCGATCGAGCCGCGCGGCGCGAGCGGTTGCGTTGCGATCAATTACGGGTGTCCCCGCGTGGAGACCCGGTGGCCAACTATATAAGCTCGACGTCGACTCTCGCCCATCTCCTGAGTCGTCTCAAGCTCTCGCAAATGTCTGGACGCGGTAAAGGTGGCAAAGGACTCGGCAAAGGAGGAGCTAAACGCCATCGCAAAGTTCTTCGTGACAACATCCAAGGCATCACCAAGCCGGCAATCCGTCGTCTCGCTCGTCGTGGTGGAGTGAAACGTATCTCTGGTCTGATCTACGAGGAGACTCGTGGAGTTCTGAAGGTGTTCCTTGAGAACGTGATCCGTGATGCGGTCACCTACTGTGAGCACGCGAAGAGAAAGACCGGTCACGGCGATGGACGTCGTCTATGCTCTGAAGCGCCAGGGACGTACCCTCTACGGTTTCGGAGGCTAATTGTGCAATATTTGTGTCTGTTACGTTGTACTTATTATCACTATTTTGTTCACTAATTACTGTTCATTGTATGCTGTACTATTTTTTTTCACTGGCATCTCATTCAATAAATTTGTACTTTGGACATGTGTAGAGGGTAAAAGAGGAGTAATTAAAGGTCACACTGAGATGTGCCAGGCAGCGAACCGTTTTTTCGAATGCAATTTCGTTCATCGATTGCCCGTTCGAGCAGCGCAGCCCTTCTGCGGTGATTCATCGCGGCGGCCTCGAGAAGGCCGTCCGGCTGCTGTGAAGGCCGAACAGATGATGGGGAAAGTTTTGGAATGTGTGTTTCGTTCGAACGAACTTTCCGAAAAGCAGTTTTCACGTTGGTTGGCGACTGTGGTGGTAAGAAATCTCGCTATCGCCCTTGGCTCTGAGAACAACAAGTTTTCGGTTAGAAAATGGTCAAATTATCGTGTTATCGCCTAGAAGATGGGGAAACTGGTAATAACCATTGTTGTGAGTTTGGACTCCTCGTTAGGCCCTGTTCAGAGATGTCCGCCGGCGCGAAAAAACGCACAGGCGAAAATCTCCGCCAAGATTTAGATACGCATCGACTGAGAAATTGTGAAACGCGTAAGCGAAACGTCCGGAGCAGGCGAATTTCAGTCAAGAGTTTGATATGTATCGACTGTGAGAAACGCACAGGCGGAAAATCGCGTGAGCGAAGCGTTCGTAAGTCGATGCGTATGATACTCATTTTCGTCGATCCTCCCACTTCACGATTCGCCTGTGCGTCTTCGTTCAGTCGATACATATTTCACATTGTTTCGCCTATGCGTTTTTTCGCGCAAGCGGACATCTCTGAACAGGGCCTTAGGCGAGACCCCATTTGGGACGTGCCAGTGATCCTTGATCCAAGCAGAGGATGATTCAGTTCAACCAGTTAACTCAGTGGTGGTACCCATCACTGCATGTGTAAAATATAATATAATATTGCTCCATGGGTGCCCCAGTCGAACAGCAATTCAAGGTTTTGGGTAAGAAAATAATCCCGTGGCACTTGAACAGAAATCACAGCCTTCTCAATCGTTACCCGTACAAATTTACCGTGGCGCTCTGTCGGGTAGGGGGACTCTGAATTGAGTGGGCCACTTACAGAACTTGGGACTAATGTGAGCCCTAAAGCGGTGAGGGGATTTGGAAGGACGAAGCAACCTTTGTTCTCCCTAGCGTTTCTTTCCTCTCCTGGGCTTAGTCCTAGTGTACCTTCCAGCGGGTTTTGAATGCCCCCCCCCCCTGAGAATATGAGCGCCTTTGGAAAAGTGTGTAAATCGTGTACACCCGATCCACAAAGCTTGTTTTAAATTTTCAACTTTAGTGCTCGTGAGACTTGCAATTGGTTCAGAATCCGTGCATCATGCCTAGGGGGAAGGAGCAGCATGGTGGGTGATGGCTTTGTCGTTAAAAGTACTCCCCCCTTAGTTGTTTGCGTCATCAACCTCCCGACGGTTTTTGTCCTCACCTTACATCTCTGCAATCCTTATCAACCAAGGAGGAATGTGGCAAAGCACGGGAAAGCCTCTCAATTCCTGGAGAAACCTCTCAGAATCTGCCACCTCCCGTTAATTACACAATTTCGAAGTAGTTTTAACACTGATTTGTCCGAATTCGATGCTGATTTGTCAACCGAAACTTAAGCCTTTCCCGAGAGTACTACCGCACCGTGACATAAACAAAATGCCGGATCTCCATGGAGACAACTGCACAAGAAGCCAGCGTACACAGAAGACAACACCCAGACGATGACAACGAAGTGATTATGACAACATAGGTATATTTGGACTCTTACGAGACCGTGTATCAAAGTTTCTTTTCCAAAAAAAAGCCAACTTATGAACACAACTTCATTAGTCACCCACAGAATAATGCGGTATACATACACAGTGAACAAAGATAAATACAGTGAAAACGATGAATAAATGAGACCATTAAAATGGATCGATTACTTGCTTGATGTGTACTTGGTCACAGCCTTGGTCCCCTCGGAGACGGCGTGCTTGGCGAGCTCTCCGGGAAGAATCAGTCGAACAGCGGTCTGGATTTCGCGAGACGAGATCGTCGAGCGCTTGTTGTAGTGGGCCAGACGAGATGCCTCAGCAGCGATACGCTCGAAAACGTCATTGACGAACGAGTTCATGATCGACATCGCTTTGAGGAGACACCAGTGTCGGGGTGCACTTGCTTGAGGACACGGTAGATGTAGACCAGAGTAGCTCTCCTTACGGCGATGCTTCCTTCTTCTTGTCGCTGCTACGGCTGGCCTTCTGACTCTTGGCAGCCTTCTTCGCTCCCTTTGCAGACGGCTTTGGCGGCATAATGACAGAACTGACGGGTGGTCGCTCTCGACGCGGTGTGTTTATCAAGGCAGCAGCCGTGAGTTTGCTCCGCCCACTCGCGAAGGCGGAGCATATTCACGGCTGCCGCTTCATATAAACATTCACACTTTTCTGGCTTGTTGCTTCAGTCGGTTCGTCTACATTTCGTGATGTCTGGTCGCGGCAAAGGAGGTAAAGCCAAGTCCGGTGGAAAGGCCAAGTCGCGTTCATCGCGTGCTGGACTTCAGTTCCCAGTTCGGTCGTCTTCATCGTATGCTCCGCAAGGGCAACTACGCTGGACGTATCGGTGGTGGAGCTCCTGTCTACCTGGCTGCTGTTCTCGAATACCTCGCCGCTGAGGTGCTCGAGTTGGCTGGTAACGCTGCTCGTGACAACAAGAAGACCAGAATCAACCCTCGCCATCTCCAGCTCGCTGTCCGCAACGACGAAGAGCTCAACAAGCTCTCTCTGGTGTGACCATCGCACAAGGAGGTGTGCTGCCGAATATTCAAGCAGTTCTGCTCCCGAAGAAGACCACTGGTGAGAAGGAATAATGAATCTCATTGTATGAATTCCATTTTGAGGGCTTTTCTGCAATGCCCATGTATGTATTATTCTTGTTTATTTATATTGTAATAAATTCATTTGATGAGATAAGTGTTTCTTTTGTCTCGGAAAATGTGTGAATACATTCTGTGAAGAAGTTGTGATGTTCAAATTGTTCAGATAAATGTTGTAAGGATTTGTCTCCATAAATCTGTGGAATCAATATGATTGATCGATCGTTTTCAAGTTTCTGAGGATTGGAGATGTCGGTAGTTGGTTTGGTTGGTAGGGTATTTCGGCTTCAGTTAGTCCAATGAGGCAGTAATTTCTGGAGGTACATCGCGGTCTTCTTGGATGTGTTGTGACTTGGCTGGTTCAGACATCAGTCGAAATATCCCTGAGGCAATGCATCTTTCTATCTAATGTTTTCTGGACCTGTGGTCGCCCACAGCGGGGTCAGCAGATTCCTTTGTTGTTGGTGGCACCAGTTTCAGATTAGAAGAGTGAGATTCTCGGTTTTTTTTCAGGGGCTCCTTGGTTTTTTGCTCGTTGTGAGCTGTGCTTGTTCCCATGTCCAGGATAGTTCTTGAAAGCGGCGCAACGTACCTCGCGGGGGGGGGAGGGAGGGGGATTAGTCTGTAGGAAGGCTACTAGGACTAAGCCTAACACAGAGGGCGAATTCCAGAGCGAATAAAAATTGTATACGCAGCTCGGATTCCGCTTCTCCTCCAGAGCTCAGTCCCAGAAGTGAAAGTTTTCGTGAATGTGATGCATTGCTACGGGCTGCCCCCCCCCCGGAGCCATCATAATTAGCAACCTTACCAGGGCGCTCATGTCGTTACGGGGACATTGAAGTGAGTTAGTCACTTACAAAACTTAGGAGTAGCCTTATGGAAGGGAGCGGTCTGGAGGAGAACGTGAGCAACCTTTTGTTCTCCTTGGCCTTCCCCATCTCCTGGGCTTAGTCCTCGTGTCACCTACCAGTGGTTTTTAAATGCCCTGCTTTGAATGCCCCTAAGGCATGATCGCCTTAGAAGAACACAGTTCTAGTCTCATCATTGGTTGCCTGGCTAACTATGCAAAAGATCAATAGATATCATAGTAGAAGATTTTTTTTGTGTAACATGAACAAAGATCATGAACAAGAGTATTTTCAAGAATACGGTGGTTCCTGAATCCTTTACCCGATACCGTTGGAGTTGCTATTGCATCGATTTTCCAGAGCCTTCTCAGTGGTTGTAAAGCAGGGACATCTTACTTGTCGCCAGGTGCGTTTTGGCTGGCTGCCAATAATTCTTTTGGTTTTTTGGGATGCAAGTTGCGGTGAGGTGGCTTCGTATGAGCGCATTCGTGTAGTGTTTGGTGTATTTTTTAAGGAAAAGACAAAATTGTTGAGGTTACTGTCAAAGTTATTGATGGGGGTATTCCAAGTTTGATTGAAAGTTGTTGAAGCTTTAAAAAAGGAGGCTTATAGCATTAACTGTATCGATCACCAATCCATCCCTATAGTCGCATAATTATATTTAGTTGGTCGTGATCTGAACACCCTAGCGCTTTAGGCTGGATTCGTAGCTCACGGTAAGGCCGATGTCAGACTTTGCGAATCGCGCGATTCGCTACTAGCGATTCGCGCGATTCGCAAAGTCTGACATCGGCCTAAGGGTGATTCGATGAGACGACTACTGCGCTGTAAAGATTTCATGAGTATCGAATAGGTGGAACGCTGAATCGCCAAATCGTTGAAAACGCTCATAGTGATAGCTGAAATAACCGCGATTCGCTCCTAATTTTCAGCGGGATCACTCAACCTTCAGATCGATATATTCGCCCCATCGGAAACGTTTTTATTATTGAAATGTGCGTCAGGAAGCTGCCTTATTGTTAGGAGCCGCACTATCTGTCGGGAACGTGACGAGCCCATACGCAAAGCCGAGCATCAATTTATCATATGCAGTGGCATAACGCGCTAAACCAGTTCAGCTGGGGACCGTTTGCATATGGTCATGTTTATTTCTTTATTGTAAACTTGTTTGTTTATTTGTTTACTCAATGCATTATGTAAGTTAAAGACATCATTATGTATCTATGCATCAATTTCTTGCCTGGTTTGCCTTTTTGTTGTGAAAATTACTCATACCTAACCACCGGTATGGACCACAAAAGTTTAAATTAAGGCGCTCATGTTTTGGGAGGCGGGGGAGGGTAGGGGAGGTGGGGATATCTAACATACTACCGATGGTAGGTGACACGAAAACTAAGCCCAGGAAAGGGGAGATACACCAGGGAGAACACAATCTGCTCATGCCCTTCCCCTACCTGAGGCTCACGATCAGTTCCAAGTGCTGTAAGTGGCTCACTCTTGAACGCTCTCCCGAAGCCACATGAGCGCCCAAATTGAAAGTGAATAAATGAAAGCGAGATTATGATCTGCACTGGTAAACTGCCGGGTCTTACCATGAAGCTCTGGACAAGGTAACCAATAATGCAGGTAATAAAAAAACTTGAGCACTAGTAGAAAAAATAATAAAATAGCGAGTGGGATGCAGTTAAAGAGGTACAAATCGAATGTATGAAAATTGATGTGAAAATGACAACGAAGCTTATGTCAGTAATGACAATGGAAAAAGTTGAACTCTGCATATCGAAAGCTCAATTTATACGTACATTACTCAAGAAGAAACGAAATTAAGTCAAGTTTAATTTAAATTTTGGATTTATTTTTTGCGCATTTCTCATCAAAATTTAAATGAATATTACACATATAATAATCATTAAGCCAGCGGAAGTGTGTAGTGACAAGTGGCGCGCTTACCACGCGAGCGGTCCGGGGATCAAATCCTGGGTCGCCCGGGCCAACCAAGCCTTCCATCCCTCCGGGGTCGGTTAATTGGTACCAGACTTGTCTGGGAGGATAAAAACACTGACTTGTACATCGGCTGGCCCCGCAAGTCATTGTATAGGCCACATCGCATTCAAACGCCACTACGAATGTACAAATGGAAGTAGAATGCGTGCCGCATCCCAAAAAGGGATTGATCAACGGCAAAAGCTTCTATTATAATTATTGCCGTATTCTAACAAGAAAA